AAGGGAATTTTGTCCACAAGTAAACAAGACAGCTGCATAATGTCTTCTATCTAATTGGTTTGCAGTTTAATCTTTTTTTAAAAAGAAATCCCACTTTCTGCTTCGTAAAGGAAAAGTTGTTTTCTCTTTTGGCTGCTTTTATTTATGAAGAAATCATGGAAAACCCCAAACCCTGTATGTTTACTTTGGGAGCACCTTAATTTTTGTCTTCTCTGTTTTAGTGGATGACTCCATAGAAGGCCACAGAACTGGAGTGATTTTTTTTTTCTTTTTTTTTTTTTAATCCTTACTTGATAGGAACTTTGCAAAATTGTTGAAGAAAATTTTCTTTTCTGCCCCCTCCTCCCTCTCCCCCTACATACATACACTTTCTCGATCTCACTGCCTGCTATTTATGACTGTAAAAATAATTATCAATCAGGTGCTTTAGGCAAAACTTTAAATTTTTAAAATGTTAACTTTTTCCCACTCAGGTGATTGTAAATAATGCAGATGGTCGTGATTTTTAACAACTTTCTCATGGCCTTATGCTTTGGCACACTGGGCCTTGGATAGATGTTCATCTTTCTGCAGGCGACAGAAATTCCCCATTAGTGGAGACTAATGAAGAGGAGTGGGCAGGCTTTGTAGAGAACAGAAGATGCTATGGATCAGGGCTATTGAACTGTATAGAAAGGGGAATTTAGAGTTGCTTTGAGAGGCATTGAAGAATACAGTAAAAGCTGGCGAGGCCTTAGCCCTTCCCCCACCCCACCCCCGAAACTCTCTTCATAAGCAAGGAAACCTATTTAAAGGGAAGCCCATTGTGAAAACACATGTTCTGCTGCACTCAGCATATGTTTTCCTTGTGCTATCCACAACTACAGAAGGGAGGTAAATATTGCAACTGCTTTATAAAATGGCTGGCAAATTTTGACTAAACTAGACAATAACAGTGGTACATGGTACAAATACTGACATAGCTAGAATGCCCCAGCAGGCATTACTCCAGTGCAGTGGTTCCCAAACAGGGGTACATGAACCCCTGGGGGTTTGTGAAATGTTACAGGGGGTTCTCGGGGAAAAAATTCCCTAATGGTGGACAGAGCTGTCCCTAGGGACCCCGGGCAGCACGGGGCCAGCAGCCCAGAGCCCCTGGACTTCCAAGAGCTAAGCAGATCAAAGCAAGCATCTCTATCACACTGAGGAGATTTCAGAGTAGCAGCCGTGTTAGTCTGTAACTGCAAAAAGAACAGGAATCCTTGTGGCAGCTTAGGGCAGGTCTACACTTACTTCCTGGTCTGGCCGTAAGCAATCGATCTTCTGGGATCGATCCCGGAAGTGCTCGCCGTCGACGCTGGTACTCCAGCTCGGCGAGAGGAGCACACAGCATCGACGGGGGAGCCTGCCTGCCGCGTCTGGACCCGCGGTAAGTTCGAACTAAGGTACTTCGAATTCAGCTACGTGAATTTGCGTACCTTAGTTCGAAGTGGGGGGTTAGTGTGGACCAGGCCTTAGAGACTAACAATTTATTTGAGCATAAGCTTTCATGGTGCCACAAGTATTCCTGTTCTTTTTACTGAGAAGATTTAAACTTCAAGTCTCCTTATAAGAAATGGAAAGGGAGGTGAATATTTTTTGCTGTTTTTAAAATTAAATAGGCAGCTAGTATTGTTTTTAAAATTATTATGAAGAACAAGTTTAAGCTTTGTTGTAACGTGCGTTGTTTGCCTGGACTGCTCAAGACCTGAATGCTTGTGTAGGAAGAACTCTTTGAGTTGGCTTCTTAAATACCTTCCTGCTGTTTCACATCTGATACTCCTTGATGAAACATAAGAGTCTTGTCTTATAACAGGCTTATTCAAAGTGATACAAGCTACGAAAGTGAGATCTTGAAAGAGTGTTGCCATTTTCATAATGTAATAAAAATACTGTAATGATAATAATTAATAATAGTGTGTAATAAACATCTCATTAAAAACAAAATTTATATTTCCAAGATCACTACTTTTATAATTTATACTCGGGTAAAGGAGAAAATCCCTGGAAATATTCGTTTTTAGGAGGGGGTTTGTGAGACTTGACATTTTAGTGAAAGGGGTTCACAGGTTGTTAAAGTTTGGGAACCACTGCTCCAGTGTAATCCAAACCACATGCTCTGCTCCTGCCCTGGGAGAACAGGAAGGAAAATCCCACCCCCTCCCTATACAGCTTTGTACAATTGACCTGGTGCATTATGGGATTTTGTTTAAAGTATTGGACATAGAACAAGGATACTGGAAGACTAGGTGGAGTTAGCGGTCTGATCTAGTACAGTAAATCCTGTGCTTCTAACTGAATGAAGCACTAATTTTGTGCAGTAGCACCAGTAAACCCCCCTGGTCTGTTGGAATATCCTGTAGGTCAGCTGACTTCTACCAGTTGGTACACTGAAATGTCAGTGCAGTCTTCAAAACTTCACTGCACTGCTTACAGATCCAGGGCGGAGGGTGCGGCGAGACTCTTTTCTCACTAAAGGGCAAGTTGTTTTGATTTGGGGCACACCCTTAACTCCAACCCCAGACCTGACTGTCCTTTGGGGACATCAGCTGCATTTGCTTAGAAGCCTGGCTACACTATGCCTGCTGCAAGACCTGAATTTTGTAGCCTGGACCTGTTTGTTTTGCACTTACATTGGCCTCTGACCATTTGTATCAGTGCTGGGTTTTTTTTCCTTATGATGTAGTTATTTCCAGCTGAGCCTCTGTGTCATAACAATGTTGGTTCATCTGTTCCTACTCTAGTTCCAATCACTATCTTCCATTGTGACTCTTCCTATGCAACCCAGTTACAATAACAGTAGCAGTGGAGCTGTAGGAGCAGATTACCTTGAACTTCCTGTTTTCATTCAAATACCCTTGGTGAGAAAGGGAAGAGAGAGAGAACAAATAAAGTAGAAGCGTTTGAAAGCCCTAGTATCAGGCATTAGTGCCCTTTAAGAAGAATTTCTGCATCATTTACATGTCTGCTCACTTTCTGGTAAATGCTTTGAAACCAGAGGTGGTAAAATGTGTGCTTGTAGGGTCAGACACATCGCTTGGTGCTGGGAGTACAGGAAAGCCTGGAACTAGACTGATTCAGTAAGAAACACTAATCCGGGTTTTCTCTAATATGTTCCACCGTATTGCTATGGCCTCATTGTGTAGTAGCTGCCATTAAAAAGGCAAGATTTGCCCAACAGATACCACACAGCAACCATTATTGCTTCCGGATGAAAGTATAGGGCAGGAAATGTGATATTTCAGCTACTAGGCGGTAACTGTTAGCAACTGGCAGCTTTTTGATGGTGATCGTTATAACTTCAATGGACTACCTGGAGCTAAAAGCAGCATTGTGTAGCTACCTATCTAGCCAATCCATTGCAAGCAGCAGGCTGTTGCAGAACATGAGAACAGTAATTCTGCCCTTTCCTCTGATGAAATAGTTCACGCTTTTATTTTTATTTTTGAAAGAAGGGACAGATTTCTTTAGGATGTGTGTTCTCATCAGCTGTTGGTGACTGGGATGCTTTTAAATGCAACACTGCCTGCAGTTAACCTGAGATTCTTCCCTCTGGGCCATCTTTAGTCTTCCTCGTAAGCTTTATATTCTCTGTTTTGACTCTAATGCTTTTACCTTTTGATGATATATCTTCCACGGCTGGCTTCTTTTCACAATTGCTGTCTCCCACCACGAAGATGGCCTTATCGCAACCTAAACATAAACAAGATGTCTTGCAAAGTGTACTCCTTCGGCCCAGTTGTGTGGCCTGGTCATTTTGAATCTTCAAAAATAGCTAGAGGTTACTGAGTGTAAATATCCAAAGGGATTGTCAACAAAGTCACCTTCTCTCCCATCACGCGCAGTCACATTTATATCTACCACCTTATTTGCTTTCTTTTGTCGCAGCCTCAGGGACAAGGCATGAGCTTAAAAATTGTCTTCCTGTTGGAAAACCAAAGGTCCATTAAATGAAGGTTCCTCTGCTCTGACTGCAGGACTGATGAAGATTTATGGTGAACTATCAAAAATGAAACTGAGCTGTAAAACTTCTCTAGAGAAGGTAGTATACGCACCAGCCCCAGGCTCAAAGCTAAGACACCAGCACTGTATAAAGAGCATTCTCTGAACTTGTATTAACTTACGTAGTATGACTTATTTAATGCTCTCTAGTACAGCAAAGTCTTGCAAAGCCATGCGTGTCTGTCACAGGCATTTATAGTGCCCTCGTCGTCATTGTAGCTAGGTGCCATCAGCAACCAAAAGATCAAGACAGGGAGCCCATTCATAAAACCCGAAAGAGTAACCTAGGGAATATCCCGATGCCTGATTTGTCCCATGTGGATGCAGCCAGAATAGTGATCTGTCCTGCACACAATGCACAAGTGGCAGTTGTTTGGGAGCTTCCACAGTACCATGTCTAGTCTAGTCTAGTCCTTCGCTTTCCTGATTGGTGAATTCACTCAAATGTAAAGTTTTCTCCACCGAAAGAAAGGCTGGACAAAGAGTGAAACCATTCTTGGCAAAATAAGTGCAGGCAGTGTGCTAGATGTGCTGTACTGGTTTAACTTTGTCAGCTTTGTTGCCAACATATCTTCAAGTGAAGTTGTTCTGTGTAAAAATGACTCGGTTTCTGTTTCAGGTATTCCATTTAAACATGCTACTGGGCAACTCCTTCCCCCTATTCCCCAAACTGCTAGTCTTGTAAACATGCCTCCTGGGCTGGTGTGTCAGTCCACTGTGTTCATCCTTGCTCATATGTCCTCAGTCATAATAAAGACTGCTGTCAGAAGTCAAAATAGAATTGGCTGTCTTCCCCAGGGCAGTTTACAGTATCCCCATACTTTAAACTCAGAGGACCAAGGTAAACAGTCTTTAGCCTCTCGTGCTGAGTGTCAGTTTCTTTCAGTTGAAAAATTCAGGGGAGCGGGTCTTTCCAGCTGCATCTCCCTTTCAGTTTGCATAGCATGAAATTCACCAGGCTCACATTTGTTTCCATGCAGGGAATTCTCTTGGTGTATGACATCACTAACCGCTGGTCCTTCGATGGGATAGACCGCTGGATAAAGGAAATAGACGAGGTAAGTGTGACACTGCAGCTTGTTTAGGATGTGTTCATACAGCATCTATCACAACAGGGCCTGGTGTGACTACAGTAATATAAACGCTGCAGCTTCTGGTGCCAGCACAGAAATATCATCGTGCTGTGAAAGTGGCAGGTCTCCTTGGATGCTGAATAGCCTGTTGATGCTGACACCTCTGATTTTACTGAGCCCCACAGATGGCACTTGCTGGAAAGCAGAGATTACAAATATAATCAAAAGAGACAAGGTAGATGAGGTAATAGGATCTTTTATTGGACCAACTTCTGTTGGTGGAAGGGACAAGCTTTCGAGCTTCACAAAGCTCTTCTTCAGGTCCAGGAAAGGCAACCAGAGTATCTGTGGGCTTGTCTACGCTGAAAACGCTGCAGCGGCACAGCTGAAGTGCTTCAGTAAAGATGGTACCTTCACTGATGGGAGGGATTCTGGCGTTGGCATAGATAATCCAGAGTTGGATTCCAAAAAGCGGTAGCTAGGTCAACGTCAGAATTCTCCCGTCAACCTAATGCTGTGGATTTTTCGCACCTCTGAGCACTGTAGTTATAGTGACCTAATTTCCTAGCATAGACCAGGCCTGGGCTAACTACAGGTTGGGGCAGACTGTTCAGCATAAGGGGTTCACATACACTGTAGGAGGCCACTTAAAATGAAGTGAGCAATTGAGGGTTAGCAGGCAGTAGGGTGTGTTACAAACGGTTGTAATGAGCCACAAAACCAAGGTCTGATGCAGAGGAGTGGAAATCCCTGCTGTGTCCAGGAGACCTTTGGGGGGAAAGAAGGACTACCCTGTGGAAAGGAATTACTTGCAATTCCCTAGTCAGAGAAGAAAGAAAAGCCTCTATCTTGCTATCCACTTCTACCAGGCTAAAACTGTGCAGGCAATGGGGAGCAGGATATCCATACAGCTGAGTTGTGGGCCGGTTAACCAAGGAATTCTGGGCAATGCCCAGTAAAATCATGAGAGGAAAGGTCTGAAATGGAATAATCTGTATGAGGAGTCCCTGCTTAGACACCAGCGTTTGTCTCTGCTAGGACTGGCCACTGTGATATAGTTTCGCTTCCTCATGTGCCCTTTGATACTGTAAGCTAAGCAGCCCACTAGGTATAGTCTGTGTTCACTGGTGTGTCAGTGAGTTTGATGCTCTTTTCTAAAGATGAACCATGTTCTTTTAAAGCATGCTCCAGGTGTCCCCCGGATTTTGGTTGGAAACAGGCTTCACCTAGCCTTCAAGCGACAGGTGCCCACGGAGCAGGCCCGTTCCTACGCTGAGAAGAACTGCATGACATTCTTCGAGGTCAGCCCACTGTGCAACTTCAATGTGACAGAGTCCTTTACGGAGCTGTCTCGCATCGTGCTAATGAGGCATGGCATGGAGAAGATCTGGAGACCTAACAGAGGTGAGTGGAGACCTGCTCTTGCTGTGCTGATGAGGTGCTCTGTGGGCAGAAGAAACTGCCCACGTTGAAGGGGTGGGTGTTTGCCTTCCTGCTTGGAAGAGGCAGTATTTAATAATCATCTGGGGACCTCCAAGCACTTCACAAACACAAAGTGCCTCAGTCCCCACCCACCTCTGTGAGCTCGGTAAAAAGTATCCCTGCTTCACACAGAGAAACTGAGGCACAGAAGGTAAGTAGTGTGCCCCCAGTCACAGAATCAGTTGCTATCAGAGCCGGGAATAGAACCCAGGAGACTGGACTCAGTCCCCTGCTCTAACCACTGGGCAATGCTGCTGCTGTATTCGAGCACACTTGTGTGACCACTCCGAGCTGTGGTGATTCACTAGCTGAACTCACTTTGTCTGACGTGGCAGCCCACTAGTGCCAGTTCAAGCCAGAGAAGGCTTGAGTAATCCACTCCTGAATTTCTAGTGCTACAGGCCCCTTTGCTCCATATATATAGTCAGTGTGGTGAGCTTAAAAGAAGAGGCATCTCAGTTGGCCTGTGGTGCAGGGTTGTGTGTGCATGAGCTCAGTCCTTTGATAGGCTGGGGGAGAAGTGGCACTTGGCTGCTGGCTCTACTCCAGGTGAGGCTTGTTCCACCCTCTTCCAGATGTGGGGGGTAGCTGCAGTGGAGGTGGCAGGGATTGTTGGTACGCAGTGCCCTGGGGAGGAAGAAATAGGCTGTCTTCCCCTTTTATGGTGGCACATTTTCTCCTGCAGATGGGGGGTGGTGGTGAATGAACCTAGGTATCCAAGTGTGAGCCAGGTCCCATTATCTTAGACACTCTCCCCTCTGTCCTGGGCACTGACTAGCCATCACTGAAGCGCTGGTGCGTCAGCCAGAAGGGATGAGCGAGTCCTTCTCTGCCAAGGCAATGGTCAAGGTCCCTGTAGCTGGGCCTGCTGGCACACTGCTGTTTGATGCATATGGAGTGCCAGTGAGATACTAGAGGGGATTCAAACCCAAATCTTGCTGGAGGCAGAAGGCAATGCTGATGCAGTTTCTGCAGGGAGATACCTTGCTCTGCGGTGAAAGCTTTCCCTGCATTGAGAGCCAGCATACACAGCTGGCTTGATTTAAAGATCGAGCCAGTCTAGTCGCTCTGTTGCCCTGCAAAACAACGGTGAGGATTTAAAGCTGAAGTCTTCTGTGCGCTGCAAATCTATCCTGAACGCCTTCCATGGACAGGGTCTACAGTCTTCGCAAGCTTCTTGTGCCCCATGCATAGCACTGCTTCATGGCTTTGCAGGCTCAGTCCTTGGGCAGACTGAAGATAGGAGTGTGCCCCCGTGTGGCCAGCTGTAAGGAAATCCCGCACAAGCTGGGGCATTCACAAAGCAGTGTCACATGCTTTTTACACTGAATTCATGGAAGTAAGGGCTTTCTCGGAGAGGCTGAGTCTTCTCTAGCTGTATGGGGCTGGCAGTTCTGCTGGATGATGGGGTCAGAGTTCAAAAGAGCCTGCCCCTGGGCTTGTACAGATTGAACAGGTCCCAAACAGGAATGTGCTCTGCCTCGCCCCAGCAAGGCTGTTGCCTTCCTCCAGACCACGTCTGCTCTTTGTATCTTGGAGTGGGAAGAAGGGGGCTGTGCAACTCAACTGCCAAACACTTTGCAAATACTGACTAAATGAGGCCTCGCAGCACTGTATGGGGGGAGGCGGGAAGGATTGATTATTGTGCTGATGGTTAAACTGAGGTTTGGAGGCAGAGCTCAGAGAACTTGGGAGTCCTGTCTCCTAGTTCCTTGTTTTCACCATCAGATCCGCAGTCTCTAAGGCACCGTATTGCCACCACTAGTTTCTCCCTCCCTAAGAAATGGGTGATGTACAGTGCAGGCAAGATGTGCAGCAGGGAAAGCTCTCTCCCTGGAGGCACCACCTGGGTGTCACTTGCCCTCTGACCGTGCTTGATTCTTTCTCTCCCGACAGTGTTCAGCTTACAGGACCTCTGCTGCCGTGCAATAGTCTCCTGCACACCGGTCCACCTCATTGACAAGCTGCCACTGCCTGTCACCATCAAGAGCCACTTGAAATCCTTCTCCATGGCCAATGGAATGAACGCGGTGATGATGCACGGCCGGTCATACTCCTTGGCTAGCAGTGGGGGCGGGAGCAGCAGCAAAGGTAACAGCTTGAAGAGATCCAAATCAATCCGCCCGCCGCAGAGTCCCCCACAGAACTGCTCACGCAACAACTGCAAGATCTCTTAGCAAGACTGTAAAGCTGTGAGCTCCAAACACACCCACCCACCCACCGATGTACAGATGTTTGCACACGTAACCCTTTTCAATAGGATCCTTTTGAACGTTCCTGGGTCACTTTTTTGATGACATGCGTAGCTTTGGAAAACGAGTTCAGCTTAACGTTCAGACCATCATATCGACTGGATCCCACATCGCTAGTAAAGGGGACGGTGCCAAGTGAACCTTCAGGAATGCTTTGGGATTTTCCTCAGCCTGGGTGGAAAACTCAGCAGCTGCTGGCATGGGGGAGGGACAAGCTCGTCCAGTCTTGGCAGAGGAGGGGATTTAGCGGAAGATCAAGAGGCTTAGGGGGTGGTCAAGGGAGAATCTGTGCTGCAACTGTAACTCTTGAACTCCCAGATGCATTGCTGGTGCGATAGTGAACAGTGGACTTCTAAGAATAAACGGGGCATAAGATGATGGCAAATTCTACCTGGACTTTAACCTGCCATTGACAAAAAAGAGGCAAGAGTTGGCCAATTGGGAATCTGAAGGAAGCAGTCCTGCTTGCCTTTCACTTATTTATATAAAAATTATATAGCGAGATCACACTTCTTTTTTTTTAACTTTTTTTTTTTTTTTTCTTTTAAAGAAGCAGTCAGGGAAAATTTTATGCAGCCATGTAAATAGAAGCATGGGACCTCTGTTTTGCAGTGCACCAGCTAAGGGGGAGGAAGGGAGAGGGGGATTTTAAGGTGAGTATCTACAAACACCTTGGGAGATTGTACAAACAGGATTGCTCTGCGTTGGTTTGTTTTAAATACTATCTATGCGAAAGGAGAGAGCGATTTGTATGCTACATTCTGTATCCTTCCTTTTCTGAACGTTCCTGGTAACAAGGGTGAGGGCCTAGGAGGGGGCTAGGATTTAAATGTAATTGGGGGGGGGGGGGGGGGGGGGGGGGCACAGAGGCTGATTGTACTCACTTAAACCAAAACCCAAATAGAGTTGCAGCTGTGAGGCTGCCGTGGCCTGCAGGAGCCTGAAGACAAAGGTTCCATCAGACCAAATATTAGAGACCCAAAAGTCAGCTGGTACCAGGTTTATTTTCCCACGACAGGCAGCATCTTCTCATGTGAGGGTTGTTGATCAGTGCTGGCCTTGAGGAGCTGCAGGCATACAAGTAAAACACTTCTGCTGGGCCTGCAGTGGAGAGAAACACACAGCTTGATCACAAGCTACCCTTCTGGGGTCACTGTTCCTTCCCCCATCCTCCCCAGTACTGCTATTTATCCCTCCCACTCTTCTGGGCCATAAGGTCAACCCCCTAATAGGCACGGAGACTTTGAGCAGGCCCTGAATCCAGGGTCCTTTCTGCACCTGTAAATACCCACTTCACCTTTCCAAGGAACATCTAATCTTCTAGCACTGCCCATGGCTCCTCTTCTAGATGGGGGCAGGAGAAGGAGAACACACTTCACACTAGAGTGTGGCATATTAGAACTGATCAGGACTGGAGCACTACTAGCCATTCTAAGTGGTATTAAAATGCCGCCTTGCTAGTCTGGAGTTTGCCTGCATTGGATGACCAAGCAAAGCTATCTTGCTGTGCCCTCAGACAGCCATGATTGCTGTTCAGTGGCAGGAAAACATGAAGGCAAATGCATTGGCTTGTTTTTATTGTCACTTAGGTTTTCACAGCTTCTAGAGCAAGCAATCTCTCTAGTTGGCAATGTGCTTGGGATAGGCATGTGATGTTAGAGAAATCCCATCTAGGACAATAGCAACAGCTTCCCTTACTTAGTCCCATAGTAGTAGGACTTTTAACTTTCCACTAGGGCTTCCAGCAGAAGTAGTGCCCAGTCCTTGTTAAGCTAGAGAGGCTGATTACAGTTCGATGCGAGTTCAGTCATAGGTGAGCGAGACCAAGACCTGGTGGCAGGTTCTTGTAGGCTACCAGGACATGTAGTTTTTCAATGGCTTTCAGGATCATCTAACTGTATGAACTGCTTTTGGTTGTTCTGTTCTGCCTCCATTATACCTCCCTCTTTATTGGGAAACTAAAACTGGCACATGTCTGCTCTAAGATGCTGGTGCTCTACTGTTACCGCCTGTCTCCCATTAGCAGCAGTTCCCCAAGACCAGGCTTAGTCTGTCACCCTAAAGCAGCTTGTTACGTGGGCAGGATGAAGCTGTTGCGTTTCCTGCACAGCTGACCACCCACTCTGTTCAAGCAGCAACTAAAAGACGGGTGGCAGAGAAATGGCACAGCCCCTTCCCACATCAGCACTCCCTGCTGTGCTTTTCCCTTCCTTCCCTGACAGGGTCTGGAGACGAAGGAGTTTCTGCACTCTCTCAAACCCCAGAGGACAGATTTCACAGCCCAGCTGCAGGGCAATAAACCAGGCCACCAACGAAGCTCAAATGAGGGAGAAGGAGAAAATAAACCGAGGGCTGGGGGTGTCTTTTGTGGCCGTGATTCAGACTAAGAACTAAAGCTGTAGTCAAGTTCAGTGCCGTCGCAGGGAAGCCAGGGGATTTCTAGAACCTGTCAGCAGTACTACACCCACTGCTCCATGTCACTCAACAGGGAGCAGAAGCAGCCAGGCAGCCTAGGGATATATGGCTAACAGGTGATGGGAGGCAGAACACACCCCTATCCATCAGTGTAAAACCCTCTTTGAATTTGGTTTCCGTTAGACAGTTAGTTGTGGCAGCCCCTCAGCAGCCTGTAACTCACCTATGTTGCCTCTTCCATATCTAATATCTGGTACACGCAGCTGGCGTGGGGAGGAGATGGAAGATTCCGTTCTGCATGTCTAGAAACTCTTCCAACTACCTGTGGATGGTTTATCCCCTACAAATAAACCCTCTCCCATCTCTTCTCCCACTGTACATTTTCCCCTGTACAATCTCAGCAAATCCTGTCCAAAGGAAAGATTCATTGATCTGGAATGTCTGCTGATCAAAACTGAACTCATCTTGTTTTCTTCATTTGAAAAGAAAGTGGTTCTCGCATCTGATATCAACACTAGTCTTTAGCTGCTGTCTGACACTCGGACCATTCCAATGTTATTTTGGACTCTTTTATTCCTTTGTACAGTCAATGTTGTTCAACTGATATACATGTTTTGTTTTATATAAATTAAAGTCTTTTGTTGTTTTAAACTACCAGGTGGGATCTGGACAATTATGTCAGTTTCAAGTAGGGCTGCGGTTTTAGCAGGTCTTTAAGCGGGTTTTTCTGGGGTTGCTCAAGGATGGGGGTGGGATGTGGCAGGAATCATGGTGATTGGGAACTTGCCAAAGGGGGGCCCTTGTACCAGTGTTCCCAGGATTGCCCTTCCCAGCCATTCAAAAATCACGAGATTTGGCTTACAGACGATGAGATTTCAATTCACATTTGGTTCTAGTCTTTGTCTTTTGGTGTTTTGAACCTTTAGGAGTCATTTTTCAAACGTGTCTAGTCTCCAAAACTTCTTGTTTTTATTGGAAGCAGAGATTCTCCCATAATCACATGACTTCAGGGGCTGGTGCTTAAAGAAAAACATTGATTCTCCTGAGACTTGTGAGAAAATCACAACAGTTCGCAACGCAGGTGTGTAAACCCCACGTCAAGCCCACATAAGCTCTGACTTATGTTGGTTACAAGTGGTGTAAAACTCACCCTGTGCAGCTACGTCAGTTGCTGGCCACCAGAGCTTCAATCCCAGGTAGGGACCTACTTCTGCTTTGTTACATCTGGGGTAACTCCTCTGATAGCTGTAATGGAGAGCAGAGTTTGGCATATACTATCCAAATTGGAGTAAGCTGCTAAAGAAATTGGTATAAAGATGGATTCAAAGTGAATTTCGAAAGCAAGCTATAGACGAAGGGGTGGTGCTGTCTTGTGACTTCATAGTTTGCCTCACTTTCTGTTTTTGTGTGACGGCAAACACTGCAGTCACTACACTCCAGAGTGAACAGGGGCAATCACAGAGATGGGGTCACAGAGCATGCCAAGGCCCCCAGCTAGAAGAATGGCCTGTATGGTCCTCACTGGGGATGAGGCTCCTAGATCCCAGAGAAGCAGTCACTTTTGGGAAGAGGGACAGCTTCTCTTGGCCTAATTCTCTTCTCATTCACCCCCTAAGGAAGCGGGGGATACTGGCCCTCCTTTTGACCTGCCTCTTCTTCCTCCTCCTCCCCCCCCCCCCCCACTTCTGTAGGATTATATCTCCACTCTGAACCCGGCTGGCCAGGCTTGTTTTAACAGCTTAGTGCTTGCTGGGGGAGGGAAATCAGATAGCGGCTGGAGCATGGACAAACCCCATAATGGGGTAAAAGCCTGGTCAGGGAAGAGTGAGCAAACATGCCTCTTGTTTTTCAGGCGGGTTCTCGAAGTGCCCTGTGCTGTCTCACCCCAGGAGCCTAAACAAAGGACTTGTGTGATTTCAGGTGGGGAAGGATCAGCAGGAGTCGGTGACTCTCCAGCAGCAGATTCTGTTTTCATGCAGATGTCCTTGTTCGGAAAGAACAAGGCAAGAAAACCACTCAGGACGAATTGATTAACACTGTGCCCCGCTAGCCTCTTTCTGCCCGAGCTCGAATGACTCTCACAAACAGCTCCTTGAGCCTGACCCCCCTCGGAGAAGTAGATAGGAGGAGCATGTTGCACTGGGATCACTTTACTAGTTTCCCAACTCTTGTGAGAGCTGGTGGTTTTCTGAAAGCCCCAGCTCCTGGAGTCATGTCACTAGGTAAGAAACGGTTTTCATTTAAACAAACAAACAAACTTACTCTTCTGGTTGCAGAGAGAAGCTTGCCGATGACACCTGAGTAGAGCCGAAAAGCTCAGAACCAGAAGATTAAAAAAAAAATCCAAAATATATTACTTTGGCTAAAAAAAAAAGTTTTTCTTTTTTAACTCATAATCTGGGGGAGCCTGGCTCCTCATGGGTTTTGAATGCTGTGGGTTGGCACTACTGCTTTCATCACCACTGAGATGCAGCCAGCTCTAGGGTAGAACTGCAGAATAGCTTCCCATGACCTGTGAAAGTCAGATGACTAATAAGCAGCGCTTTAAAGGTGCTGAGCACCAGTGGCGCCCCCTTCCCCCTCCCCCAAAAAACAAAAACAAAATCCTGCTGATTAATCCAATCATCTTATGAAAATGAGGTCATAAGAGCACAAAGTCAGCTGTGATTTCTAAGCAGGTACAGCAAGAACAGTTTTTTGTTACACATGCCAGAGGTGCACAGATATGTTAGAGAGAGCCAGAGGCTTTGACACTCCTGGGAGTCTTAGAATTCATAGTGCAGTGATGAAGAGAAGGCTCTGTACTGATGACTTGGAAAAGTGCATTTTAAAAAAACAAAAACAGCGTTTGCGCTTTATGATGTACAAATGCCTGAAAATTATTTTTGAAGTTCTATTGGGTTGGGTGGGTGGCCCCGTTTTAAGGATTATTTTAAAGCAGAAATGTCAAAAAAGCCCAGACTTCATACTTGGTTTTGGTTTGGTGTTTTGGTGGGGAGGGGAGTTTCTGGAGGTCTCCTCGGAGAACTAGAGAGTTGAAGTGGGTGTTTCCTCCTCCCTCTGTGGAGGAAAACGGATGGTGAATTATTCTCTCTCTCCCATGTATTGTAGGAGCGTGAGTTTAAGTGTTAAACTTTTCAGGCCTCCTCTCTACTATAAAAATGCAAAAAGAACCCACAATTTTTTGCTTGGCGGGTCCCTTAGGAATCCTGTCTCTGTAGCTGAGGGTTTCCTATCATGCTCAGCACTGGAGTAGCTAGGTGCTAGCTTCTACCTGCATTCCAAAGCACTGGAGCATGGAAGCTTCAATAAACCTGACATAGGAATCAAATTATCTCGCTAGTGACTCCAATACAAAGCTGAGATATGTTAGTTAAGCGATTA